AACAGGGCAACAACCCCAAACATCCAGCCAGAGCCACAAACGGACAGTTTGGATCAAAGTATGTTCATGCATCATGGAAGAAAGCATGAAAAATGTTGATATATGACAAAAATATGGAAACGATCAAGGAGGTATAAAATACTGTAGCCAGACATCATAAATAGTAGCAAAGAGCTGTGAAAGACATTCATCAGGGTCCTGACTCTGAATCAGTCACGGTTTTACTCAGCCGGGGTCAAAGTTGTTTTACTTCCTGTGTCAAAGTTTTTCCATCAAAGGTAAACTAGAGAGCTTCTAGAAAGCGTTCACAGCTTCGCTTTCTAGCGAATTGTGAAAGCTATTTTGTGTTACAAAACCCTAACCCTGCAAACGTTGCAAATTTTGTGTTACAGCCAACAGCAAGTTCTAATAATTTAATCTTTTCTCAAAGTTCTGTTCACAAATACTCCCTTATGATAATCTGGTGAAAAAAATAGCTGTTTAGATTTTGGTAGATTTATTAAAAATAGAAAACTGATTTTTCTGTATTCTTCCCCAGACTCGTGCCTCATGACAGGTCTTTTAATTTCATGCTTGATGTTTGTGCTCAGACATCAGACCTTATAAAGACAGACTTTCCAGCTCAAGCCCAATCAACTGGATTCACTACAGGTGAGTCCATTTAGGCTCAGCGTAATGATCAGTGTAAACAAATCAATTTGAGCTGTGAATTCTAACCGAAGTGTGATTTATTTGCTTTTCTTCTTTCAAAATATTAATTCAAAGCAAATGAAGGATCTCAGATGGTTGAAAAATAGGAATAAAACATGAACTCTATATTTAGTGTTTGTGTCTCAGAGCTGCACAGAGGAGCTGTTGGTAGCCCTGCTGCCTGCAGCAGCAGAATCACAATCTGGGCTCTTTCTGCTTGGAGTTTGCCTGTTTTCTCCTGCTTGTCTTGTATGTTTCTGTGTTGCCCTTTAATAAACTGGCAACCCAGTGGCAGACTCGCCATATTGAAGAGGATCCAGAATACACACCTGAGACAGTGAAGAAGAAGAAACTGCAACATAGAGCTACCTTCCCAGATCTTCTGCTTACAACTGGAAGATATAAAACCTGCTAATCTTCTAGATTAGAATTTTTCGTCGTAAATTTCTGACATTATTATCTAGACTATCTTTGTTTTTACACCGTAATTGTGGAAAAGTGTATATTTTTTGTGCAAATTTTTAACTTTTTGACATAATACAAAAATACTATCAAACTGCAGACATGTACTCCTATGTGGCATTGTTTTTCTTTTATCAATTTTATTTTAAGTTGAAGTCTTGTTTTGTTTCACATTGAAGGTATGTGTTGAAAAGCCCCAATGATTTTTTTTTGGTTGTGGACAACCGCGACATTTGCAGCATAATTTTGCTTTGCTTTGCATTCATTTTGAAATAAAAGGATGTCTGGAAAACACAAACTCGCATGCAGAGACGTGTGAGATTTTGAAGACATCAATTTGTTTTACGTCCAGGAAGGTGATGGAAAGCAAAGGTTAACATCTCTAGATTGTTCCTCTGATTAATTTGAGCAGCTTCCCGGTTTGCTGTGTTTGTTAAAGGCTATTTTAAGACCTCAGGGGGATAATGCATCCCAGGGGAGACAATCAAACACTCCTGGGACCAGGGAAGGTTAACCATCAGCTGCTCTGATTTAGGAGGAAGTGTAGAAGGAGGGATGTTGACACCGCTTCTGCGCATGTCCTTCGCATCTGCACTGTGAACTGGAATTTCACTCTTGCTGCAGTGCCTCTCTCTGAGATGACGGGCTGCAGCGAGGAACTTCATTAAAAATCACACACAGTTTGTGCCAGAACACCGAAAAGATAAATTAAGCAAGCTCACTTCATTTTATTTCCCTGATTATTTGAAGCAGTCATATTTACAGGCAGTGAAAAGGAAAAAACAAAAAGAAAAAAAACCTGAGTGGATGTCAGGTACCAAACAGCTCAAATCGTAGCAAGAGCTCTCAGCCAGGTGTGAGTGATGGTGTTTTAGAAACACCTGGGTTCTGTTCACTTGGCTTTGCTGTGATCGTTCAGTCAGATGCAACATTACAGAACAAAAAGATCTGGTGAAGAGGAGCTGAAGAGGATGGAGGGAACATGATGAGCCTCATTCAAAAAGGGCAAAAAAAGTTTTTTTCTCTGTTTTGCTTTCATTTTGCAGGTCCTGGCAGAAATTTGTCTCTGAATTTGGACGGCATTCTGAGCGAAACATGTCAACGTTAGTTGCCAGTTGTTGCTGATTGATTTGATTCAGCTCGGGACTTAAGTTTTAGGATTTGGAGGTTTGAGATTCTTAAAGGGGCGGTATTATTTATATTCCAGGGACATACCCTTGCAGTAGTTCAATAGCTGAGCAACTGTGTTTTTAAAAGAGGAATCACTTTCATAAGTATGATGCTCGCTGAATGTCTAGTTTCCATGCGATAAATAATACGCCACATCTTTAACCGGATGCCTGAAGTTTTTTTCTGATATGGAAACTTCACCCTTTAGTTCAAAATGTTTTAATGCATCTACAGGTAATAAATCTGCACAACAGAGGACCTCTGATGGTAATCCAATTCAGATTTAATAACTTGTAGAAATATTATATCATAATATATAACATTTTTGCATAGATTGAAATGTCTTTTGTCTACTAAATTGTCTACTATATTTACTATATTTTTGTCTTTTGAATTTTGCAGGTAACTAAACAAAGTGATTACCAGCTAAAGTTCATCCAAAAACAGGCTTTCTTTTTATTAATTTGAGAAGTGGATGTGTTGAACCCTCGGGGGGAAGCAGGCTGCAAACTTTTCTTCTGACATTTCAAAACACATCAAACTTCCTCAATTTTAGAATGACATATTTTATCCTCTAACGTATCTCCACTGCATTAACTTTTGGGACCTCTTGGGAGGAACGTATTAGCGAACCTTTTATGATGACTGAGTCGATTAAAGACTGTCGTCTGCGTCTCTGTGCGAGCGACTTTTATTAGACCCGAGTCGACAATGCCCGAGGTGGAAACGTGTGAGAATGTCTCCCGCGAGAAGAGAGGCATAAACTCATTCGTTTACAGTACGATCGTTTATTATAGGCGACCCCGACTCGACCTCGTAACGTACACACTGGAAACAACAGCAGAAACAGGAGGCAGCTTCATTTCTAGGCACTATGAACAACAATCTGTTTATGCAGAAGTAAAGGTTATCATACTGAAACAATGTGCGAACAAGCTGCGGCGGAAAGAAACACTTTTCACACAGACAGGAAGGTTTCTTAGTCTTTTGACAACAGTGGGAAGATTTATTAAAAAAACATATGTCTAACATGGCAGACCCAGAGTAGATAAAGCAGTTGTTTGAATGAGTGTGAGTTGCAAAGTGTATCTGCACCCTACTGATCAATGCATGAAACACTCCACTGTTATCCAGCTCAATGAATCGGATATGCAAATACACTTTGTCCATTAACCATTCAATCACTGTAATGTAATGACTCGTATTATTGGCTGTGGGTGTGCACCTCTGAAGTCATTTGGATTGATTTTTTTTTCTTTCCGTCTTCCAATACTTGTTCTACTGGAGCCTCAACGATTCACAGCAGCACGAAGTTTCCCGCAAGGCAGCAATATGTCTGAAATGTGTTTCATCCAGAGTCAATGTGCGGCTCTGACCCGCAAAATGAACCAATTCCTGACAGAAACAAAACTTATTAAAGTCACAGGGCTGAACGTTTACTCGCCTTTGAATTCAACCTGAAGTTTCCCTCAAAGGAAAAACAAAGAGCGCGACAGTCAGATTTTCTGCCTTTTACAGTGTGATGCCATAAGTTTTATCCTCCAATTTTGACACAATCTCCTTTTAAAAAAAAAATTTGTAGCCAAAAAGGAGCACATTTTGAAAACAAAAAGCTTCCCAGTTGTGTCCCGGAGGTAGTTTTATAGAGGAAAAGTGGTAGAAATCCTCTCACAGCTCTACAAAGCGGAACGAAATGGATAGATAAATAAAAAAATAAAAAAAGAGAAAGCTGGACAGCCATGCATGTTAAAAGCCTAAGTGCCATCAAAGCCCCTTGGGCTACAAAGGACTCTTTTAGCAAATGGATGGCAACAGCTGCAAACTCTGGGCTGTTCTTAATGTGCACAGTGCAGATGTCTGCATTCGAATCCCACAGTCTGAGACAGATCTGTCTAGCGCTACACTAGGCCTCTCTCATCATATTGCCGCAGCTTCATTAGGCTCTGAACTGCGCATCAACAGCTGTCTGACAGTTTTCGCTCTCCAATTAAAGCCAAAAAAGTTACACTGATCCCCATCAAAGACTTGTGTTGGATACTGTGGGAATCCCTTTATCTCTGATGTGTTATACGAACGGATCCCGAGTCTTTCAGCTGCTTTCTTGGTTACATAAACTGTGAAGATAAAAACAACAAAAAAACCTACCGCCGGAAAAATAACTTAACTCTCTGTATCATGTTAATCCAGGACAACTTTGAACCTCCTTCACACATTTAAATAGTTTTTTTTTCTTCAAAAGCCACCAAGAGTCCGATTTCCTCTGGTGTTTTTGCATCTTTTTTTTTTTCCTACCACACTTTTTCCTTCCACTCAGCTTTCCATTAAATCTAGATAGATAACCCTGTCAGGAATCAGCATCTTTAGCCAGAGGTGATTGTTCAGCTCACTTTATGTTTGGGTCAACTTCTCCATTCAACTGACTGACTCGTGGCTCTAAAATGTGATCACAATGCCCTTTCAGTTTTGTTCAACCAAATTTATTAACAGAACAAATGTTTTGGGTGTGACAGTTTACAGGCACGTTAGAAAATGGGAATTCAACTGAACCACCTGCATGAGACAGTGAAACATCACGGTTATTGGGAAAAGGCTGCAGTTGCCAAAAACATGAATGTGCTGCAAACATGGATCATATTCAGTCAGATGACACATTTATCCAATCAGTGAACTGGGACAGGTTGACTATTGAACTCATTTAATGCTCAAAACAAATACAAGTTACTTTACTGGGTCATCACAATTGAACAAGATATATTTTTTATTCTTATATTTGTAACACCCTCAGAAATATACATTCACATGGCTGCATACAAACAGATTTATTTTTTTTTTGTACTTTTTGAGATTCTTTCAGTGACACCATTTTGACAGACTGTATGCATTACCCCCTTTGTATGACAGTGAAGTCACTATTGGCATGTTAAAAAGGTACTAGAGGAGCAGTTTTTAGTCGAGACTTTGGGAAAAAGCTATCCATCAACATCATCTATCCATCACCGAGTCTCCATGTTTGCAGTCAAATAAGGTTTATTTTACACAACAGGCTCCCTATTAAACCCAGACTATAATCTCAACTTTATGTACAATATTTACAGTGGAATGTTAAACATACAGAATACAAAAAGTAGGATTAGGATGGAATGAAGTTACAGTCACTATTATAAAATAGAAAGTCAGAACACCTCAGTGATATGAATGTTAATATTTAGCAATGTACATTTTGACCCCAAAGTATTTCTTTTTTCTTTTGTTGTCTGAGAAGCAGTTGTGGCAGTGGTTTCATAACAGAAGCAGAAAAAAAGTCAGATGAAACCGTACGTTTGTGCTTTCAATGCGGGCGATGTTCATTACTTCATACATGCAAGTCACGATTCTTTTTACTGGATTAGAGTCGCTGCTGTTGTGCTTAAAAAGCTTAGAAGAACGTCAACAATCTGATCTGAGGCTGCAGGATTTAGATTTCTGCTGGATTTCAGAAATTCAACATTGAGTGCTGTGTTAACTGTTAGTTAGAAAATGAAATTGTCTAACTAACTTTTTTTTGTGTGCGATCAAGTATGCAGTCCTACTAAAGTGCTGGGATGAAGACTAACTGGATTCCACTGCATGTAAATGATCATTTGTGTTAAATGGAGATTTGCAGTCTGTCTCTGTTTTGGAGATTTTTTTGTTTAGTTCTGGACAAAAAAAAAAAACCTGACTTGTGAAGAAGAAAAATTCCAACAAACATTTTCATTATCCAAAACAAATTGGAAAGGTGTGCATTGTTTTCACTTCCTTTATTCTGAAGCCCCAAAAGAAAATCTAGTGTAACCAGTTGCACACAAAAACTCCAGACGTTTTCTGAAGCTTTGGTTAGATAATATCGCGGGATAAATGTTAAACTTAATCAGAGGTTGTTTTATTTTTAATTTCAGAAATGTTAGTTTAAGAATTTTTGGAACCAAAAATGGTTAAATCATAAAAAAACACATGACTTTAAGACCAAAGTGCAGCGTAAAAAAAATAACTAAATTTATAAGTTATATTTTACTTAATGCCATAAATAAGATGAAATGGTGTTTGACTTTTACACCCAGTCAGAAAAGGTTTTGTTATATTATTGGTGGTTTAGCCAGCTATAAATATTGCAGCTGTCAAGCCAAACCTTGAGTCAATACACACTTTCCCACAATGAAGGTGAGGATAACGCTGCTAGAATATGTTGATTTTAATTGCCTCATGTAAGGAAAAAAAAGGGATGTAAAATTTAAATAGTTAAAGAAAATGAAAGGGGTGAGCACAAATTGAAAAAGTACCTAGTTAGTGGGAAAAATCTGGACATTTTTAAGAACTTTAATGGTCTAAATTTCAGCAGATTTTTTTTATAGCTTACAAATCCTTAAAGATCCTGCAGAAACACTGAGAAGCGCATCAGTGTGAAGTATCCACAAATTAGAAATCTAATGCATGAAAATGTTTTCAGGTGGTCATAATTGATTTATGACCAAGAATTAGATACATCAAACCTCAGAGGTTGATTTGAACATTTTTCTTCTACTTCACATTTCTGCATCTTTTTTCTTTTATGTCTACGAAATAAAACCTCAATAAAACACTAAAGCTTATTTAAAAAAAACAAAAAAAAAATAAAAGTGGCATGAATACTTTACAAGAATTGTGTCTAATTGTTTCATTTTATTCATCTCTTTGGGGAACGAAGAGCTTAAATAAACAGGAAGTGGTTGCTGTGTCTACCTCGCCCCTCCTTCTTTTGATAGGCACTGAATAAAAAGAACAAAAACATAAAACGTGCTTTGTTTTCTTATAACGCTGCGGTTCAAACTATTTCTGAGTAAACAAGAAAGCATTTCCCCTGCCTGTGTGAGAAAACCAAACTTTTTTTTTTTGTCCACAGTGACAGAAGAAACTGGCTACTGTGGCTCGGTTTATTTTGAGTCGTGTACTGTCTCTTTAAAATTGAAATAAGGCCATTGAAAAATGGATCGGAGGAGGACAGGATGAAACTGACTTCTAATAAGAACAACAGAAACTTCACTGTTCAATGCTTGTTTGTGTATATCATACAATACCGACTGAGGCTCATGATTAACATGCTCATCTAAAAGCATACAGTAGACAAGCATGGACTGAAAAACATTCACATCTGCAAGAAAATCCTCTCACAGGGGTGTTTTTTTTTGTGTTCTTTATCATTTTAACATATATTTATATAGGTATGTTCGTATTAACTGCAATATTGTCGTTGGGTACGGCGTACCGATGAAATCATAGCTCTGCCAATACCGACGACAATAAAAAAAGGAGGATATTGTCGCCTTTCTAAGCTGCAAATGAGGACAAAAACACACTGGAATTGACTGGGAAAAAGAAAAAAAAAAACAACAAAAGCACTTCCACTCCCACACACGAAAAACATGCATAAAATAAGGCTTAATACAGTATTTGTAGTGTTCAGAGCCAGTCAGATATGTTGTTTACATCCACAGATTTACTGCAATGCCTCTCTTATCTCTGATTTTTCACATTGAGATTTTTTTTGTTTTCATTCTCGTTTGAAGCAAATATATTTCGCTGATCGCGTAATGGAGCTCAGAGCTGAGGAGAAGAGAAAGTCTTTCTGCTATACTAGCATCCACTGGCACTTGCTAACATCATTTTTAAAAACAGATACAGATATATACTGTATGTATAACGGTGGCATAAAGAGTCAGTGCGTCCCCATATGCAGAAATAAATCTTGACATTAAAAAAAAAAATTCATTACTGCAAAATCACCCCCCCAAAAAATAGCTGGAATTCATTTTGAAAGGAAGGAAGGAAGAAACATCAATAAAGCAGCAGTCAAGTTCTTACGCTGCTTTCTTGCTTTGCGGCGTTATTTTTTTCAGATCCCTTTACTTGTTAAAATATTTTCTCTGTTAGCGTAAATAAAAGCATCAGTTGACATTTCCCCTCTCATCCGAGTCCTTTGAGTCCATGGATGACTCCTGGTGGAAAATGAGGTTGATGTTAGCCAGTTCTTGGGTAAACAGTCTCAACTGGAGAGGCAGAATCATTACTGAGAAATTCCTCAGACACTTTTTCGCTGACAACCATTTTGAGGAAAAGGGGTCAGAACCAAACATAATTACGACAGCTCAACACACGCAAAAAAACAGGAAAAGAAAAACACCCAGACATCTCATTGAAGTGGTGAGATTTCTGAGCACATGCACACAGGTCAAACTGTTCAAGTCAAGCGACAATCATGACATTTCCGAGCGCTGTTAGAGATCCAAGACTCAGCGAATGTCTTTTCCACATAATTACTCACAAAAGCATCCATACCTTTTGAGCTTTTACACATTTTGTCTCATTGTAACCACAAAATTCAATGTTATGGGATAAATCAACACAAACGAGGGCATAACGGTGAAGGAGATGTAATATGATGCATACTTTCACAATGAAGGCATCTGTAAGTTTTACTAACATAATCTGCAAAAAAATACACACAATCACATTGTATTATTGTTAAGTAGTTTGGATTTTATTGCATGACATACGTATTTGATCACCGACCAATTAGGAGGAATTTAACCGGTAGTTCGTCTTTAAGAAGCTCTCCTATCTTCCACTCCTTGCTTGTCCACAAAGCCAATCAGACTCCAACCTCTTCACTATAAAGTTTTTTAAATCAGCCAAATCCGCTTTTTCCCCCCCCTTATATTTGACTTTTTCCACCAGCCTGAACGGCCAAATTTCGATGTTTTCACTCTCCAAAAAACGTCCGATTGACATCACTTCCAGTGTGGTACGAACTGCGATACATATCCTATTGTTCTCAAAGCCTTGGGAGTCTGAATGCTCATGTTGCATTTTATTCAACAACTACATCACTGATATGAGACATAATTCTGCACCAGCAGAAACCAGACACAATAAATCTGGACGTAAACAATGACTGAAAGTTATCATTCTGACAATCCCACCACTCCTGGCTCCAACTGCACAGGTTGCAGTCAATGCTCAACAAAAGGCTTGAGCTAAGTTAAGCTTTCTCTTTATTGGCTACCTGTTTGTTGTGATCTTTTGACGGTGCTGCTAACTCCCATTTTTGAATTGGACACAAGACTAAAAATACTTGGAAAGATTTGGAGTTTTTGCAGCAAAACTGACCCAGGAACTGTAGCATCCATTATTACGGTGCGATGCTTCGTGGAGTCAACATTCAGTCTATTTGGGGTCTGGAAATGTTGACAGTAAAGTCTGATTGCTACTAAATAGTAATATGAACGATTATACACATAAAAAGACTAATTTGAACATCATGGCCTGCTGTGGGAATGTATCCTCTGTTCGACCTCTGTCACCGTAATAATTAAAATACTATTTTACGGTTGTCTCAAATACTTATTTCATGCCAAATTAAACATTAAAAAAAATAAAACAATGTGATTTTCTGGATTTGTATGTAAGGTGCAGTCTCTCACAGTTGAGGTGAACCTTAAACCTCTCCATTCTGTATAAGTGGGGAAATCAGCGGTGGATAAAACACTGATTCCTCCCAGCAGTACAAATTCAGATCCTCACCTTTTGCTGTGATTAAATAGATTTTGTTTATCATTTGCTCTTGCATCTCATCTTACAGATCACTTCACCTTGTGACAAAATGTGAGAAAAGTTCAAGTGGCATTACTACCTTTGCAAGACAATCGCAATAAAGTGAAAAGTAAAACGCTGAAGTCTGTCAGCCAGCTTCTGCCCTTCCCTCCACCGACTTCATGATTCACTGATAAGGACACTAATTTAACATGACGGAAACTTTAGCAATAAAAAAATCATTGAATGTTATTATGTTACCACCATGTGTCTATATGGCTCAGTAGACTGACATCCTGTTATTAAAAATAAAAACAGCAAATAAAGTCTGAGATGGGGCTTGAAAAGCATCAACAATGTCTTTGGAGAAGGACAATAATGCGCTGTCGCCATAAATGTTGCACGTCTGTACAGCTATTTATTTATTTTATTTTTTTGTATCTTTTCTTTTTTTCCTGAAACATTTGACCATAAACTTTGAAACACTTTAAACTCCACCTGTAAAATATGTCAGACACAATAACTCTCATTTCTCTGCAGATCATACAAAAAGAGAATATAAAAATGACAAATTTGCAATCGCTAATGACAAAAATAAACAGAACAAACCAAAGTAAAACAAAAAATAAAAACCATACATCCAGTGTAGGACTTTCACAAATGTGCTCAGCAAAACCTCAACCTGTTCTTTTTTTTTTGTATACATTTAATACATTTATAACATGAAAAATAAAATACACAACAGTATTGACCAACCACCTTTCTGGCCTTGGAGCCACATTGAGTCCATTTACATACCTTAGTTTGTAATCTTTGCCCATTAACTTGATGAAAACGACACCAATGCTGTCGTGTTGCGAAGTCGTGTTCTTGGACTTTAAATAGACCCTTGATTTTCCTAACAGTGATTAGTTGGATGGAGTCTGATGCGGGGAAGAGGGGCGGGGGGTGAGTTGGAAATGCCACTGTGGGAGTTGCGGGTTGATGGATGTGAGGGAGGGGAGGTGGGAGGTGGGGGTGAAGGGTGAGGTGGAATGCAGGTGAGGGGCGACAGGTTGCTTGGCGGTTGCATGCCTCTACACGTACCACTCTTTCTTAGAAATGACAGAGCCGTCGGTTTGAGAGATCATATCGTCGGCAATTTCAGGTTCTGGGTCGTACTGGAAGGCCAGAGTCCGCTCCCCGTAATCTCGGCTCTCCCCCTCATCCACAGTGAAGTACGGTCTCTTCAGGTCCTCGGATTCGGTGTCGAAATTCCGTTCGCTCGCCTCAAACCCCCCGGTGTTGCTGATCTGGGTGGGCTTCTTCTCGTCGTCCGAGTCGTCCGGGTACTGGAGGTTCTTGGGGATTGGGGGGTGCGCTGGCATGGCGCCCGCCTTGCTGTACCCGTTTCCGAAGACGTGCTTCTTGGTGCTGTAGTCCCCCTTGAAGGTGCGATGGCGGCGACGCAGGAACACAAAGAGCAGTATGGCCGCCACGGCCAACAGGATTACTCCCCCCACAATGCCCCCGATGACGGCATTTGCATTGTGCTGCTCCGGAGTGATGCCGGTGTCCCTGGGTGTCGGGTTGATAGGGAGGTCTGGGTAGGAAAAGACAGATGGAAGGGAGTGTGTCAGTGCTCTGGTGGGAGGAGGTGCAACTGTGCAGGTGCATTTTTTTTTTTTTTTATCAAAACAAAAAAAAAGGAAAGATGATGTAAGGGAGACGAGGACGGAAAAGCAAAAGGGAAAGGAAGGACCCCCACGGGACGCCCACAGCCAAGCCCACCCAATCCCACTGGAGCCACCAGTGCTGTTGAGGACGGCGACATGCAGTTCAGACACGGACAGAATGACATTAACCCCCGGCGGATCGGACAGAGAGAGTCAAAGTTCAGCAGCATGCATCAACCAGAAATTTTAACAATTTACTCAGAAAGCAGCAGCAGGAGTGTTTACAACGCGATAAAGGTAATCAATTCTTGTTTTGCTTCTAAAATGTTTCAGATCAGATTAATCCTAATAGACAAAGATACACACAGCAATTTATGATTTAATGTGTCTCAATTTAATTTCAGCCATGACTTTGACTAACCAAAATGTTCATTTCCATATTTTCGGCCTTTGGGATTTGGATAAGGATTTACTTTTCGAGATGTTTATTTATTGTTTTTATCCTGCTTCATGTTGTCAGGCAGGTCCCAGTTCAGTGATTTGCAGTTGAAATCAAACCAAAACATAATCAGGCATACTTACATGAGAACCTAAAATTAGGTACCGATCTTATCTATCGGTTATTGATCTATTAACAGTCGATTCATGATTAAACAAGTATCGTTTCACACAACCTCAGCTTTTTCCCTCAAAATATAACCCACTTTTTGGAGCACAGCTCAATTTGTTGGATTTAAAACATCAAAGTGACAAAGAAAGAAAGAAAGAAAAAAAGGAGTTTTTAAAACACTTCTTCATCTTTTGAATGAATCAGCTTAAAATAAACATGGTGAAAGGCAGACTCCAGAGGAGTCTGACAAGAAGTAGCTCCACAAGACATCTTCATCAGCTGTGCAGAGGTAATGAAATGAGAGAGCGCCGCCTGGGATGATTATCAGCAGCCAAGCATTCGCGGACACAAAGCACTGAGAGAGCAGATAAACACGGAGCTCATCCACTGAAGCAGCCGAGCGACACACCAAAGAGACGGCGTCGCTTTAAAGGAGGAAATGTGTCGTTTTTATAAAAATGACGACAAAGATATGCATTAATATAGAATGTGATATAATATAGTACTATTAACTTACTCCTGGTTGCATTTGACACAGCATTCATGTCTGAGGGTGAAGTGAGACATCGTGGTCAGTCCATTTCTTTTCACAGAACCAAACATCATGGGAAAAAAACAGCAAGTGCTACTCAGATAATTCAAGTGAGGAATCAAAGAAAAGGGAAGCTTTTTGTTCGAGAAGCTTTGATATGATTACTAGTTTGGCCTTTGCTTTGATATCTGCTTTATTGCTACTCTATTATGAGACATCTTAATGTAATTGGGATTAGATTTTAACAACGTCCATATGTTCATCTGGAGCCGGTAAACACGACGCCTTGAACGCAGCTTGTTTGCCTTCTGCATCAGCGGTGCCTTCAAGCTGAGTCCAAGGAATGAAAACCCATCAGCTCAAGCTTGAAAAAGTATTCAAGCCTCTCAAACAACCAAAAAAAAAACTAATTGGATTTTCGCAGGAGTTTATGTGAAAGAAAATGATCCACAGGTTTCTAACTTATTATGTATTCAGCCCGCTTTACACCAATACCCCTAAATAAAACCTAACACAACCAACTAGATTAAATCAACACAACGAAGAATCGACGTTCAAAGCATTTCTTGTGTAATCCGACTTGGTCAGGTTTTTAAATCTTGAAGAAATATTTGCCGTGTCTTTTTTGCAAAACAACTGTATCTGATTTTTCGAACATTAGAACATCAACCTCTGCTTTAGCCTCAAATGTTAACCACATTTTCTCAATAACTGACCTCTAATCAGCTCCTTCTAAAAAAACAAAACAAACCACAGCATGATGTCATCACTTCTATGTTTAAATGAGGAGAATAATGTGTTCAGTGTGGTATTTAGTGTTGGTTTTCCACATGTAGAAAGTTCGATTTTGCCCTCATTCGACACGTTCGCAAAGTAGCCAACGTGGCGGCAGGAGTTCTTGTGGTCTTCTTATAAGAGCAAGTAAATTTTTGGAAAACGTAGCTTTGCAAAATTGTTGCTGAAAACTGGAATGACAAAATCAACTGGGAATACAAGAAATACTCCTCATCAGCTAAACCATTGCAGTCAACTAAATACTGCATTCATGGAGTCCTTGAAAGTTGGAAAAACTTTCTATTTAAATAATGTACGCATGTGATATGAAATGAAATCTGAAATAGTCCACCGGTGTGAATATGAACGCTACGGCGCAAGTCAGCCAAATCAAACCGAACATCACCTGAACAAGAGGGACACATTTTAATATAAAAAGATACTAATTTCAAACATAAAAAAGAAAATCTTTTCAAATGATCAACCTGAAGCCTTGAATCAAGTCAGTTAGGCTTGATAAGAACTGCTCTTTATTAGAAACGATGAATCCGAGCATAATGCAGCGACAAAGGGATGGGTCTGGGTAAAGTTAAGAAGCTACTGAAGCCTTATTCTCTGCTGTAATTAGAATGGCACTCTATCAGTCCAAAAAGGAGAAACCTCCGGAATGCCGCCACCGCCGCCTTTCTCCCGAGGCCCGGCTGCAAAGCTCTCCAATTTCCAAAGAGGCGCCGGGCACGGCCTCAAATATCAGCTCAGGTTTTAATCTAACCACCTAATGGGATTATTCAGACACAGGCCTTCATTACACACATCAATGGGAGAGCAGAGCCAGGTCACCCCTGCTGGAGAACCCATCCTTCCTCCGAGCCCGAAGAGGGGCGAAAATCCAGATGATTGAAGAAGTGAACAGCAAAGGGAAAACATTCGGCTGTAATCCTCTTCACTGCCCCTCGCTGACCTCCTCGGCTAAGATCTGGTTTTGCTCTTTTAAATCCTCGTTTCAATCTTAATTAGGGCAATTTTCACCCAGGTTACTAAAATGAGACATTTACTTTCATTAGAGGGGGTAAAAGACTGAGACTAAGGTCCAGATCAGAGGCAGCTAAAGGTCCCAACATCAGCCTTCCGGGGTGTTCACTGTTATCTCCACACCTATAAAGGATCAACACTATTTCTTCACCACTAATGACTGAAGGAAGAGGTTTCACGTAAACACAATAATTATAATATCTCAACAGCAGGTAGGGTTTAGATATTGAACAACGGGAAACCGGAAAAAAGGAACAAAGGCTGGAAAGATGAAGGCCCAAAAGAGGGAACGATAGGAAGTGCACAAGGAAGCAGAGGAGGTAGGAAACAAAAAGAAAGGAAGGATATGAGCTAAACAAAAAGGAAAGAAGGAAGATAGTTAAATGCGGGGGAGAAAATATAGAAAACAAAAAGAAAGAAGGCTGAAAAAACATTAATAAAGGGGTGCAGGACACAAGGAAGGAAAGAAAAGAGAAAGGATGGGCAAAAGTAAAAAGGGAACAAAGAAAGAGGGCATGTGGAAAATTAAAGAATATACTGGAAAAAGGAAGGAAAGAAGAAAATATTTTCCACAGGCCACATTTGTCTTTTCCAGACTATGTGGTAACTGTAATAAACTTAGAAAGTACGGACTTGAACCAACTCTAAACACTCACAGAGTTTTGTGGTGGCCTCCCACCCAAGAAGAACCTGTCCTGGCAAACACAGCTAATGCAAAAAGCTGTGAGGATGCTTTACCCCGATAACCCCTGAGCTATAATTGGAGGACTTTAAAACCTGAAAAAAAAAACACTGTCTAATGCTGAGCAGTGCTTTTATTCTGCAACATAAAAAACAACAACAACAAAATCTGCCTCTTCTCAGAATGTTATCCAGTCCGCTTCGTCCCCCATTCTCATCCTCCCCCCACAAGGTCGCTTCAGAGGCTTTGCAAACATGAAGATATCACAAGAAAATAACTCAGATTCTTGTGTGAATGCAAGAGGAACCTGAGTAGCCACGGTGCAAACCAATCCCATTTCAGAAACAATATTTTCACGAAAACGGGTCTGAAATGAAAAGATTTTAAAGCCTTTAGGAGAAGGAGAAGGGAGCAAAGACGAGGCGTTCCTCTTTGCTCACCTTCGCTACCAGCAACACCTGCCAACCGGCAGATAAAGACGACCCCGGCAGCAGCTATGATACTGTTCCAGCAGACAAAACGGGAGGGCGTCTATTAGCGGCGCAGAGGAAATATGTAGATAGTGGCAGAAACTTTGACTTGCAACGTCTAAAATGTGCAGCTGAGATTAATAGGAGGAAGCAAGTTTTGTGATGGGCTATAATTCAGCGCAAAGTGCCTAATAGATGCAGGCAGGTCAGGAATAACAGGAAATGCTTTGCTTGTTCTGATGCCACATTTAGGATTAATCATACAGCTCTGAACGTTTGACATGATAGAAAGGATGATTTACTGTGTCCAAAGGTTTCAGAGGCAAAGTCTGCTCCCTTTACAGATCCATCTGTTCACATTCACACAAAATTATGCATTGATTATTCACACCGCTCTGCTACAACAACAAGCAGTGCATTTTATAGGGATTTTCTATTACAGACCAACCAAAGCAGCCTAAAATTATGAATTGAAGAGAAAACTTATGATTTTGAATTTTTAAACAAACTCTTTACAGAAGTGTCTTTTGCTTTTGTTAGAACTGCACGTTTTTTTGGATGTGACACTATGACCTTTCTGGATTTTTGCCTATTCGTCTGGATTTCTGCCTATTTGAAAAGGCAGCAACAAATAGACTCGCTGCCTATTCGTCTGAAGGACAGTCAGTGTGAATGATGGGCGTCTGTGCAAATTTTGAGTCTTCCCAGAGAGATCCTGGTCTTTAATTCCAGTTTCAACACAGACAACTGAAATGAATGAGGGTTTTTTTCTTGAATGCAAATGCAACATCATCAAATTCTATGATTTGCTTTTAGTGTGTTGAACC